CAGGGTGGCATCACAGAAGAGAAATAGTTCATGGTAGATAGAGGGCAGCAAAGCAGAAGGCAGCAAGCAGTGAAGCTGCAGCAGCCTGCCTCTCTTTTATTCCTTCGAAGCTACCCCGCCTTGGATGATGTCACCCACACCCAGGATGGACCTCCCCACTATTCACACTCAGAGTTATGCCAAACCAATCTGTGAACTCATTTCGTACATATACCCTCAATCTTAGCATCACACTCTTAATCTCAGCATCACACACCCTAGATCCAACCACGTCTGAAAAGACCTATGACCACATGAGGCCTTGGTGGAACATCTAGACACAAGCCATAATAGATGGAGAATGGAGAGTGGTGGACCCCTTTCCAGCTTGGCAGCCTGATTTAGAGTGTTGCAAGAGCAGGCCCTGCCCCTCATGTACATTCAAGGCCCAGGAGAGGTGATGAGTATGAGGGGTGTGAGAGCAGTCAGTGACAAGACACACTGAGGTCATACAAGATACGCAGCACTCGTGAGGACATGAGGAATGACCTGTGCCCAGGATCTGGGCCCCTGATAGGCTGTGGTGTGGTTACCCTTGGCTAAAGCTTCCTGGTAGGTACATGGTCCAGGGAGAAGCTGGATAAGTGGTGGGATCTAGCACCAAGCCAAGAATGGCCAACAAGTGGCAGGTAGAGCAGGAGCAAGAGCCAGAGGTGAGCAGCTAAATCCATGGATGAAGGAAGAAAGAGTAACAGAAAGCAGCCCAGGGTGAAAATGGTGCCACAGGAAGGGCTGGTGACCTGGATGAACCTTCTGGTATATTAAACTCTCCTCGCACCCAAGGAAGTGCCTAAGGTGAGGTGAGGTCAAGGGTGGGCCTTTGGCAGGAGGAAGGACACAGTGGCTTCCCTGGGCATCACTCTAGATTTGGCTCCCTGAGCCGGGCCTCTATATCTGGACAGAAGCAGAGTTCAGGGGTTCAGGTCTATAGTGAGGAGAGCAAAGGGCAAACATGACCATGTGGGCTTTGGCTAAGCTACTGTGAGAGCCACCAGCTCTACTGACAAAGACAACCTGGCTGGCCCCAGCTCTCCACAGCCATCATGTAATTTACTGTCCACCCCAGGATTCTTTGAGAATCAAAGTCATAATTATGGACAGCAAAGTAAACTTACACCTGCCCTGGGCACACTGGGAGAGGAGGTTGGGCCTGCCTTGAACTCCTACACTGGCCCTCAAGAACACTATCTCTGTTACCCCCAACCTGGTCCTGGGCTCACACCTGGAGCATCTGGACCTCCTCAGAGCCAGGCTGGGAAAAGGAGACCTCCTCCAGTTGTGGTCCTTGCCCCATACCCTCTGCCTTTCTGAAAACTGGCATGGGCACTGTCACTCTTTTCAGGGAATGCCAGCTCCCTAAGGAGCGTAGTTCTTCCTATGCCCCAGCAGAGCAAAGCCCCAGGAGTCTGGCAGCCCTAAACAGGGGCAAAAAGGCTGAATGTGTCACCACATTCCACCTGCCCGTGGCTTCTGTGGATCAGAGCCTCATCCTTTCAGGGGAATCTTAGAGTCCCAAAAGTCCCCAGTTCCACTCTCCTGCCTGTGCGCTGAGGCAGGCATCACTACCACATTCGGGGTCCCTGGCTTTCCTGCAGTCCTCACCATGCCTTGCCTGGGATGTGGGTCACAGCACATTCCTGCCAGTTTCTGTGGTGGCCTACAGCCCATCCTTCCTGCCACAAGTGGCCTTAAATCCAGGCCTGAATGCAACTTTCACACAAAACTGCTTTAAAGAACACAAAACAGCTGTGTGTGGTGGCACACGCTTGTATCCCAGCTCTTGGGAGATTAAAGCAGGCGGGTCATCTGGAGTTTGAGGTTAGCCTGGGCTCCATAGTGAGTTCAAGGCCAGCCTGTACTACATAGTGAGACTCTGTCTCAAAAAAACTTAAAGTGGGGGAGGGGGCAACCCACTGGGGACTCCTATCTCTCAGGAGCTATTCATAGTCTCCACTCCTTTTCTACAATAAATTTTGCTACCAAGAAAGAAAGAAAGAAAAAGCAATCTAAAAGAACAGGGGCTAGGGAGATAGCTTGGCAGAATAAGCACCTGCCTTTCAAGAGCAAGGACCTGAGTTCCATCCCTGGTACCACATGTTGTGCAGGCCTTGGGGCATGCTGTGCCAGCCCTGAAACCAGGCATGGTGGTGCACACCTGTAATCCCAGCACTAGAGAGGTTGAGACAGAGGATCACTATAAGTGTGAATTGGATAGCAAGATCCTGTACCAAATAAATTTCCCAAATAAATAAAAAAAAAAAAAGAACAAAAAGATCCTTCCATAGGAAGATAAATATCTTGCAACATAAACACAGAACTCAACTTGCCTACAAAAGAATATCCAATACTTCCTCCGCCTCTGACTCCAAGGTAGCTCCTGGATTCCTCCCTAATACTCTAGGTTTCCAGACACTTGAACTCAGCAGTGTGTTGCCCTTGTGGCTGCTTTTCCCTCCCCTGCTGCTTCTTGGCCCCTGCTGGGCAGTGTTTGTCTTCACAGCTGGAGGTCAAAGGGCCTCTGGCCTATTGTAGATAACAAATGGCTTTGGAATTGGCATTCAGTCCTCCCCATTGCCTGCTGGTTCTCCAGGGAGGTGCTTCAAAAGGAGGGAGGAGATGGTTTCTCAGGTTTCCTACTAACTCAAATTCCTTCTGCTGCTGCCTAGGTTGGCTGCCCACCCTCAACCCTGCTCGAG